GGGGGGTGTTATGTGGGGGTGGTAATTTTTTTTTTTTTTTCCCGGTTTGAGTGTTTGGGCATGTAGGTACACGTGTCCGAGGCCCAACGCGCGAATTCCGTTTTTCGGAATTCGACGCGAAGCCCCCGTTTTTGCGTTTAACGCGATTTAACGGGGGTCTGGGGACCCGTTAAACGGGTGTTCGGGCGTTGAATTTTTCCCGTTCTCCGTTCAAAAGATACACAGCCCTCCACTGCCCTCGCAACCCCCCCCAGACACTCCCCCAACCCCCCTGCAGCTGCCCTCGCAACCCCCACCTATGACCCCTCCACCCCCTCCACCCCCTCCACAGATGCCCTCGCAATCTCCATCGCTACCTCAGCAACCCTCCCCCGCACCCTCTCAATTCCTGCCTCACAACTGGACCAAAGTGGACACATCAGGGCATGCAACAGTAGAGTGACATCAACACAGACAAACTGGCAGTGTAAGTAGCAGGGTCAGTGGTTGAGAGATAACAAAGCTTAGAAGGGCAGAGACGACATGACAAGAAACACCAGGAGACCCCCCGTCGGCCACCGGGACTGATCTCCACGGTGGAGGTGACGGGGGAAGCTCTGGCTCAAAGAAAGGACTTACTTCCATGGCGAAGTGCTGGAGGATACCATACAAAGCCGAAGATACATGACCAGTCGACTGTCAAGGACGGGAGTCGGGGAAGCCCCTTGCAGTGACTGCGGCACACATTGGGTTGCCTCCAGTGTGCGGCCTGCCAGAAGCAGTGTGGGCTCCAAGCTCAGACAACTCGACCAGCACAAGGGTCAGCAGACATTGGCCATCCTCAGTACAGGGGTGCCACTGCAGCGGTGACACCTGTGCCTGTGCAGCAGCAAATGGCAGGTCGTTAACAACAACCCACACCCTCCTGAACTGCACTGGTTTGGGGGTAGCAGGGTACTAGGTTGATTCAGGGGGTTACGACATGGTCCCAGATATACGAATGTTCAGCTTTCGTCAATTGAAAAGGGGAATAGGATGTAAAGGGTTTACAGGGACAGACATAGCAATAATCAAACAGGGGGGCTGCTGAAATAGGGCTGGGTTAATAGATAAGGGGTGCTCCTAAAAAGGGAAGGGTGATACTAGCAGCTCCATGGGATGACGGAGCCCCAGGATGAGTCAATAATAACCACAGCCCCAGGAAACAACGAACACCAATCTCAGTGCTATACGATGTATCAATGGGACGCTGGACCCGGGTTCCAGCAGGTGCCGCTCCCCACCAATAGATGGAGCAGCCCGACAGATTAAAAAAAAAAAGAAAAGAAAAGAAGAAAAAAAAAAAGAAGGCAGCTGTTTGCAGTAGGTGGCCTGTGGAGGAACACCCTAAGGGACAGGACTTGCTGGAAACCGGGTCCAGCATCTCTTCATCATACACAAAAGCACCTTTGGCAGAACAGCGTTCATGCCTCTCCAACTGTAGGGGGAGTAATGGCCTGCATGGAATATTAGAGACAGAGACCTCTTCAACCCACCGAGGCCGGGTGTTGCACCCCACAATGGATTGGATCGGTGATTAAATTGAAAAACAAAGGTTCATTAACTTCATGAACTTCATGCATGGGATGATACTGTGCACAGGTATGGTTGCTGCTTCCAACCCCCTCTTTTCCGGCCCTCCAAATACACCACATGGTTGCTGCTTCGGAACCCCGTTACATGAATGTAGAGTAAGAGAGAACAAGAGCACAGTACATAATCTGGGGAGCTGCGGCCTTGAGGCGGCCGGCCAGCCTTTATCCTCCAGGATGAATGGCGGTTATACACCAGGTCAGACAGTTGACCACTTGTAGATGGGAGACTCCCAATGGTACCAAGTGACTACAAGCTTCTTCCACATCAGACCCCATCCATCAGCACCTCCGAACGGGGAACCTCCAGTTGCTTCCACCCCCACTGGTTACTTACTGTTATACCGTGTTCCACGTGGGGACGTAGCCAATCGGGTAGCATGATTTATGTTTCAGACAGTAGGCTTCGCAAAGGTCTGGTAGGGCTTATGGTCGGTTCCGGCGTCCCTCACAACAAATGCAACCTCTTGGTATGATCCGGGCACACCGACCAGGTTCATACCTGGGTCGCGCAGTCCACTGTTCTTCAACAAATGACCCAGTTCTCCCTGTTCCCAGGCTGCACTACCCGACGACGTGCAATCAAGGGAATAAAGGAAAGAGACCAAACTGATGTACCAGATCCTATTTCCACATAGGCCCACCCCTTACTAGTTGTACACAAACTAGTACGAGAAGGCTTTTCCAAGAATCCACAGCTTTGTACTTGAACGACCTTAAACAAAACAGGCCAAATCTGAAAAGCCACCCATCTATCGCTAAAGGGAAAGAAGGAAAAGCATCCAAATTGATGTACCAATTCCTCTTTCATTGCGATTTTTTTTATTTTTATTTTTATTTTTTTTAAACGGGCCCAGTGCCCAAGGCTGATATTACCAATAAGAAGATTGAGGCCGGGGTGCTCACAGTCTGCCCGGAGTAACCGAACCGAACTTGCTGAGAACCGGGCTCAGCGTCCCTCATATGGTGATGATAATGATCATGATCATGATGATAATGATACTACTGATGATGATGCTAATGATAATGAAAATTAGTGTAAAAAGGAGACTATACTATATCAGCAATTCTGACCTCCTAATCTTAGAACAACTCCTAGCCCTCCCTATATGAGGACATTGTGACTCAGAGACAGTACCAACCTAACCAACGTCTGCCATGGCTGTTCTCTTCTCGCTCCCTTGCAGCCCCCCCCGGTTCACCACCGGATTGCCTTCCTCCCTCGACAAACCCCAGATCTCTCTACAAGGTCTCACACTCCGGCCATTTGCAGGTTACACGGCAACGCCCCAGCTCCGGCCAGCGTCGTTCTGGCATCGGCAAACCAGGGGCTCAGAACAGAGCAACTCTGTAGACACCAGTCCAGGTTCAACCATCTCTGAAATCCTATATCCCTATTGTGGAAGAAGTCTAGATGCTGCCAAAAATTTCAGAACACCAGAAAGCTTAATATAACGTGATTGAGATGATGATACTAATGATGATGAAGATGATGATGATGATGATTATGATGATGATGATTATGATGATTATGATGATTAGTATGTGAAAAATGTAGAAGACTATACTATATCAGCACTTCTGACCTCCTAATCCTAGAACACCTTCTAGCCCTCTTTGTACCAAGACATTACATCTCAAAGACAATACCCTCCTTGCCAATGTCAACCATAGCTGACCTGTTCTCGCCACCTAGACTATCCCTGGCCCCATAGGTTGTCAAGGCAGCCCCCCCGGTTCGCCACTGGATTGCCTTCCTCCATCAGCAATCCCCAGATCTCTCTACAAGGCCTCACACTCCTGCCAATTGCAGATTACAGGGCAACGCCCCAGCTCCGGCCAGCATCGTTCTGGCATCGGCAAGCCAGGGCCGCAGAACAAGGCAACTCTGTAGATATCGGCCCAGATTCGACCATCTCTAAGATCCTATATCCTGAATGAGGAAGGAAGCCAAATGCCGCCAAGAATTACAGAGCACCAGAAAGCATGATATACTTCTCCCTGCCTTCCTCCATTCCCTCCATTCCCCTGTCTATCTCTTTACCCTAGTCTGCCCCGCTGGGATTTAATACCCGGCCCCTGAATAGAGTATTCCTCACAATCTGCCCGTTCCCCCTTCAGGGTTTCAACCCCCTCCTAATGAAACCCCTGCAGAGAAGGGCTCTCCCCATCCCTTACCACAAATTCAACCTATTTTTCTGAAATGTGAGATAAAACTACGAATGTAGGAAGGAACATTTATGCCCCTCCCATATGAGAAAATAATTAGTCAAATAGTCAAAAAGCCAAAGAGTAATTTATGACTAAGTTTTTGATAGTAGGACTTGAGAGTAGATAAACATGATTAAAAAACAAAAAAAGTATATTAATTAGAGATTTTCACCTGGAGTTTTAGGTATATAAAAATACCTTTTATGTTAGTTAGACAAGAAATTCAGGTTTTGAAGATAAGAAAGATCAGGAATGTTTGAGACTTTAGTTAGGATTATTAGTTATAGAAAAGTAGTTAGGTTTGTAAATGGGATGGTACTGAGATGATGAAATTAATGGTCAGATTGATGATTAAAATATTATTAAGATGTTATTTAGTTGATGATAAGATTGATTTTAAGATTGATTGGACAAATCATGAAAATACAAGCAGAGGAGAAGAAAATATAGAAACGTGAGACATACTTCCCCCCATCCTTGTTAAATGCTAATCCCTCCCCCTTCCCCCACAATCCTCCCTCCAATTTCACCCATTGTCCTTACGCTCCCTCTTTCCTCATATCTACACCCCTTCCACACTCTTCCCTCCTCCAATTTCTCCCATCATAGCCCCACTTCTCCCGTCTCTCTCCCTAAAATGGGAAGAGCAGAGCGCAGAACATCAGACAGTGAAAAGGGACGAGGAATGGATGGAGAGAGTAGGCAGAGAAAGAGGAGAGGGGGAAGGGAGAGGAGAAAAGAGGAGAGGAAAGAAGTAGGAGTGATCAAATGAGGAGAGTGGAGTCACTCACGTCAAATGATGATAACAATGATGATGATGATGATGACGATGATGATGATGCTAATGATGATGATGATGATGGTGATGATGATGATGATGATGATGATGATGATGACGACGTGAAGATGACTATGCTGATGTCGTCGATGATGATGATAATGTTGAAGATGAAGATAATGAAGATTACCGTTGTTGTTGCACGTCCCATCTACGAGTAATAGGTCGTCGAGAAAACCACCAGGATGCTGAAGCTGAAAGTCAACTGAGTCGTAGAGAACGTTTCACCTTATGAAGCCAAGCATCTTCAAACATAGAGAAGATACGGACGCCTGAAAGTTCGCACCGCCGTCAGAGCAGCACCAACCCCCCCTCACTGCCCGCGCCAGCCTGCGACGCCAGGAGTTCAGCACAAGACAAAACTAAGGACTCACTCCTCTCTCCCCGCTCTATCAACCATGATCACCGCTTAGTCCCACTCGCTCGCCGCTGCGCAAGCGTTGTAAAGCTGCGACACTCAGCACCTCCCTAGGCCACCAACGCCCTCATTGCTCGCCCGCCTCGTGACACCTAATGCTCGCCCCACCGCGTGGCTCGCCCTGCTGGCAACCAGCGCTCCTGCCTCATAGCAGCACTCCGCTCAACGTAGCAGCGCTGGCCCATCACAGCACTGACACCACCAGGACATCGCATCCGCGCCCAGGAGGATAGCGGGGCGCAGCGCTACCGGGAGCGCTGCACCCGCGTCGAACCCGCACCTGGTGGAAATCAGGTCCAGCGTTACTTCTTGTCTTGAACATTTGTGTTTGGCTGCAGAAGGTTGTTTGAGACTGCAGGGCTGGTTGTGTGACTACGTAGGCAGCCAGCCGTATTTAGCAAGTGCTCTTAGAGTTGCTGTTTTCAAAAGCATGGCAAGTTTTGGGTTACGTTTGGCTGTGTAGGAAGTTTAGGGCACTTCTTTGTGCCTACGTTAATATGTTTTAGAAGTAGTTGCTGATGCATAGTCATTCACTTACAATGGAAGGACGGGCCACTGTGAGAGCTATTTTCCTTCGGAACAGGGCTGCGGTGACTGTAACCTGCAGGCGTATTCCACCAAGCATACCCAATCATCATAGACAATCTGCTATGTCTCAACAATCCTACATGGTCCTGACCGTTTCTGTTCTATGTAAGGGACGCTGGGCAGCGTGCATTGAAGAGAAGCACGAGTTCAAATGCAGTGCATATGTTTAATTGTAAGGTTCAAATGTGTCACATATAGTCAGTCGAGAGGAGGGGAGGTGGGGGGGGGTTGCTCTACCCCCTCCCTCCCCCGCTCGCCTTCATGCGAACTTTGCTCTGCTGAAGTATAGAGTGCAGCATCCTGGAGACGTCGTTGACACTCTGCTGTAGACATGGTGGCTGATATCTCCGCTGTTACTGCTATGCGGTTGCACATGTTTATGATCTGCTGCTGCTATTGCCATTGCCATAATGTGGTTGTTGTTCCTGCTGTGTTGTGGCTATGGTTGGCTTATGTCATAGCATAGCACCACGTAACAGCAACAACCAAAGCATAGCAGCAATAGCTATGTCGCTGTCGATGTTCCTTTGGTGAGGCTCTTGTTGACGCTACAGCAATAATCGCTGGTATGGCTGCTGTTATTGCAATGTTGTGGCTGTTGTTTGTGTTGTTGCACGGCAGTTGCTGTGGCTGTTGTTAGTGATATGCTTCGGTTGTTGCCAACCCTATGCTACAACAACAACTGCGGGTGCTTTTTTTTTTCTTTTTTCTTTTTTTTTTTAATATGAAAGCCCAGGGTGTTGTAGAGGCCAAGGACCAGACTTGCGGTGATTGCTAGCAGCGGCAGCCAATGGTTGTCCTGACAGGATAGGCCACCTACCCTACCCATCCCCACGTTAATACTCCCAGCGCACCCCCTGTCTCTACTATCCTACCTCAGAGTGACCAGCACTCAGGACCATCCCCCCTACCAGTATCGAAGGCAACTTGGACCAGACAGCAGTGGCAAGCACCAAGGCTGGGGCAACCTCCCAGCCCTGATGGAAGCGGAAGCGGACGAACCTTGCCGTACGGGAACTTCGGACGCCAGGCTCATGCAATCTTCTACAGGCCCAATTCAGAGAGTCTACCCAGCAGGATTACCTAAGCAAGGCAGGCCAGCGCCCACGGACACATCCTACCGTCCTTCCCCTAGCTTACCCAAGGCTAGGCGGAGCTACATGGCACCTATTCAGGATCTGTTTTTTTTCCCTTCCGATGTGACAGTTCTGTTTACATGTTCCCGGATGATGTATCTGACCACACCTACAACCATCCTAAAGGTACATGCATCTGACCACACCTACATCCATAGTCGAACAGGCCATCGTGAAGGTACTCCCCCGTCTCTTTTGCATATTGCCATACCACACTGCGAACATAGCAGCAGCAAAGCACGACATGCCAAGCAAGCAGAGCGGGTAGCAAGGCAGAGGCAGAGCGCCGACAAGGCAATCCACACATCCAACATGGAGCAAAACGGCACATCACCGACTTACATCACAAGTGAACCCCGCATACTATTGGTTCTCACTGCGTGCTGAGTCAGAAAGGCACTCTGATGGACGTCCATCATCACCCATAGACCATATGCACCACACAGCCATAACTGAGAGAGCGCTCCCCCAAGAGTCATGAAGGCACTCGAAACAACCAACCACCGACCATTAAGCACTTCTCAAAGGTGCTCACCTAGACATACAAAAAGTACATAGAAAGAATAAAAAATTACTAAATTAGTAAATACATACATACGTAAGGATGATTGTGCGTGTGTGGGCTCACGTGTGTGCATTTGTGTGTCTGGGTTGTGATGTTGGGCATAAATAACTCCACAAAAAAAGCATAACTGTGCCATGTTTCACTGGGCTTTCACCGACTTATCAGGAGGTTGAATTCGACAGACAGTCTGTCAGGATGCATTTGACTGATGGATAACAACTGCAAAGCTGTTTGATCACCTTTGTAAAGTGGTATCATCGTGAACTCGTCCACTGCAAGAACTTGTGTTGGAGTCTGTTACTGAACACTGTGTACATGTTGGCAAGGACCCAAGGACTACTTCCTCGTGTAGTCTCTCTTGCGCCAGTCATTGCTGCTGTGGGCCTTACTCTGACAGTAGTAAGTGTCTTTTCTTCTTTTTGTGATGTCGGAAGGCAACAATGAGCGGGCACATGTTGGGTCATGAATTTGTTGGAGTGTGTGTGGCAGATGCTTCTCGTTGCAACAAATGCAGCACCTCATGAAGAGATGCTGCCACCATCCCTAGCAACGTCCAGATTCGACCACTTTTGCAGCCGTTGCATTGTCGCTCGCAGCCCTGCCTGATGCACGGCCAAGAAC